TTCTGGCGTTTACAGGTTTTTTGACCATGGGTCGCTTTGACGTGGGTGTTGTGCGGTACCTTTCAAAAGATCATTTCCGGACGTTGATATCAGTAAGGACTTTTATTTGATTTTAGTTTTATTTTACAGGAGCTCAGTGTTTTACAGGGATTGAGTTTTGGCCATTTTACAATGAAATAGATTTGGTGCTCAAGTATATTATATTCAGATTGAGATGGGGATGAAGAACCATGAGCTGGTCCCTTTACAGCTAATTTCGTCAATTGCTGGGATACATCGTGGCGGTGTAGCTCGGCTTCTTTCTGATCTTTTAAAACATCGTCTTGTCATATATGAAAGAGGAAAGCGGGGTATAGTTTTCTTTCCTCTCAAAAGAAGGATCTTATAATCTGTTTTCGAGAAAAATTTTAGGTTTTTTTTCGCTGTTCAAGTGTTAGGTTTTCATGACATTATATTGGTTGGTTTTTTTTTAGCTGACGGTTATAAACTGACAAATACTGGCTATGACTTTTTGGCCTTGAAGGCTTTGTGTTTGCATGGTGTCGTAGGTGCAGTTGGTAATCAAATTGGTGTTGGTAAAGAGTCTGATGTTTTCATTGGTGGCGATCTTGAACTAAACGTCAGTTGATTTGTAAATGATGATTTACTTAGCAGTTTTCAGTTATATTAGATTATCTATTAGTTATTTCAGCAAAAGCAGTGTTATTTAAAATAAAGCTTTCTATCAACAGTCTAATATTCCTATTAAAATGTACCAGAAATGATAAATTTGAAGTATTGGAAGTATACATATATATGTAAAGTTTTTGACTTTTTATTATTTTTTCTTTTTTTAAAAAGGAAGTATCTTACATATATCAGACGACTGTAGCTGTTATCAATTTATTTTTCAGGACTTAGTTTTGAAGTTTCACCGTTTAGGACGAATATCCTTCAGAAAATTGAAAGAAAAGCGAGATTATCATCGGTGGCGTAAAAATTGTTCATGGCTGTATTTGTCTAGATTGGCTGCTAGTAAAGAATTTGCTTTTCTAAAAGGTTTCAAGATTTTTTATAAAGTATAACAAGGTGCCTTATCTTTTTAACTTGTAAGTTTCTGCAAAAAAATATAGGATGATCTTGTTTCCTCTTACAGCTTTGTATGAACACAAGTTTCCGGTCCCGCGACCTATTGACATTTCTCGTCACACAGTTGTTATGGGCTTTATAGATGGAGTGACGTTGTGTCATGTTTATGATGTTCCAAAGGCAAGAATAATGTGTAGCAATTTTTAAATTTTGCTTTCTTATATCGCTTAATCTTCTATTATTGCTTTTGCTGCTGCAACTTATTTTTCTTTTGCAGTAGGATTTTTTTGGATTGAAACAGAAATATCGACGATTTAGATTTTTCTGAATATTGATTCTAAATAGGAATCTTTAGGTTGAGGACCTTTACGACGAGCTGATGTCACTTATAGTTAGGCTTGGTAGGTATGGATTGGTGCACGGTGATTTCAACGAGTTCAATGTTGTGCTATCGAAAGTAACTTTGCTGTTCAATTTATAAGCCGGTTTGGCATATAATTTTTCTTAGAAGTAGTGGTGTTTTTTTGATACAAGTGTTGATTAAATGAACAGCAGAAATTCACAGCTTTTCGGGAACTTGGTTCTTATGAGTAAACACATTATTTATTATTCTGTTATTTAGGATGGTAGTCCTGTTTTAATTGATTTCCCGCAAATGGTCAGTATGGATCATCCAAATGCCGAATTTTACTTCAATAGAGATGTGGAATGTGTCCGGTCTTTTTTTCGAAAAAGGTAAATACGTTTATTAATCGTAATTCCCTTAATTGTATTTATGTTTCTAGATTTGGTTTTGACAGCGAACTGTTTCCGAAATTTGGGGATGTTGAAAGGAAGTATAATCTCGATGCCGCAGTTGAAGCAAGCGGTTTCTCAAAAGAAATGGAGAAAGATTTTGATGAGGCTAGTTTTTGTTTTAAGTTAAACCTGTCCTAACTTTTGAAAAGTAGATTTTTACTTTTCTGGTAGTATTTTATGTTTATAATAGTTCAAATTGAGCGAATACTTATTCTACTGGAATTTTTATTTTTGCCATAGGTTCACGATTTTCGAAGTGCTGATCCAGAAGCTGCTGAGTCGTCTTTGTCTGACGAAGCTTCTGAAGCTGAAGACGATCGTTCAAACGGTTACAAAAGTGAGCGTGATGCTCAGGAAGGTGAAGTGCCTAAACAGAAGGAAAAAACCAGGTGCTTTACATTGGCGGATACTTCTATTATCTTTGAGTTACTTTTTTTTAAAACGTATCAGTTAGTATCCGATGTTTTTGTGACCGTTTGTACGTCTCATTTTCGAGTTTTTGAGACTGTAAACTCTTTGATTTTCAGACTTGACGTTTGGCTGCAAGAAGCAAGAGATCAGCTTGAGGAGCTTAATGTTAGGGAATCGAGCGAGTGTTTACAAGAAACACTTAAAGATGACAAATTGATTCAGTCTGAAGGTAATTTATCGGATTTTTCTCTGCTTCATTTACGTTTTTTAGTTTTAGAGCCGAGTCAAGCAGTCGCTGGGTTAACAGATTCTCAGCGTAATAAAAGTGGTCTGAGTATGGGTATGAAAGATGAAGAAGAGGATGATGATTTGGGTAATCATAATGCTAGTATTCCGCATTTGCCAAAATCAACTTACAGTACTGGCTCGACTATTTCTCGGGAGGTGTGCTGTTTTCAAATCTCAACTTGTCTTTCAATTTAGCTTGCTCTGTAAAAAATCTTTGAGAATGATTTTTTTTTTTGCAAGAATTGCAGCTCTTAATAGTTCTAGAAGCTTTTGGAATCTCTCAGTTAGTCAGTATAACGACTTAAAAATGCTTGTGTATTTTTCTCATTAGAACTTGGTTCTTATCCTTGTGTATGATGGGTTTAGGTGATATGTAAGCGAATAGCTTTGGAACAGCGAGCTAAAAACAAGGTGAAATTACGTTTGAAGGGGAAAGCAAGTGCTGTACAACGAGGCAGGAAGACTAACATGGCCATAATAAAAGAATATGACGGGTGGGACTTATGAAGAGTTGCTGTTTAAGTTTAAGTTTTGCTTTTATCGTATTTCTTGAATACTTTTGCATTATATTAATTGTTTAATTTAACGGTTTGCATTACAAGTATTATGTTGCCTGTAGCTAATACTCTATATTACAGTAAATATGTGATATTCTGTTTTTGACGGCTTATTGGTTAGGATTCGCATTTTCAATGAAATAATACTTTCTCAATTTTCTTTTTCTTACATATTTAAGGTGCATTATTTGTTTTAAATAGATCCTGTTTGTTTCTGCTGACTGTCTTGCAAGTTCTTATTTTACTTTTATGGCTGGGTGTAATGGTTTTTTATCCGGTCTGTAATGGGTCATGTTTTTCTCTTGTATTGGCAGGGAAGTTGATTTTTTTAAAATTTGCTCTTAAAAACTTCACTTTGGCCTTTCAATACTGCGTGCACTGGTTATTTGGGAATTAGTTTTTGTTGAAAGCGTCAGAGCAGTGTAGAAATGGAATAGGTTTTAGGCGATGAAAAGATAACTGATAATATATAACGCAAACATGGAAGTAATGTTAGAAAACTAATGATCACTTGGTGTAGGATTTTAGTTATTATTATATACTCGTACCTGTTTTGTCTGCTTAGAACATCACGGGCTTGAAATAAGCAATTGTCGTTGTCGGCTAAAGACGAGCATCTCCCAATTTAGAAGTTTAGGATGAGGCATTTTCCTTGGGCTGTAACAGTTTATGAGTTGAGTTTTAATTCAGTGAATCCGGTCTTTCAGTGCTCCTTTTGATGACTTTTTTTTGTATTGGTTCGGGTAATCTGTATTCATTTTTAGAGGTCGAATATTTTGTTTTGGATGTTCTACTGGTGAATTGGTTCTTTTTCTTTATTTTTTTGAGACGGAAGTTAAATGCAGTACTGTTGTTTTTTGGTATGGAAGCAGTACATTACTGTTTTCCCGCGTGAGAGTTATGCTTGATCAAATGAGTTACGTTTTAGGGATGGATGTAGGGAATTAAGTTTACGGGAGTTGTTAATTACTTCTTATTTTCTTGTCATAGGCACTGTTTGTTAAGCGGATGATGAGATTTTTAGGTTTATTTTTGTCACAGAAGTGGGCTATAAAATTTTACTTAATGGAATTGTTATTGCTTTCTTCTGTCTGTTAGCATTTTCTTTTCCTCTTACCACACATCTTCAGACATTATAATTGTTCGATATATAATCAGTTAGAGCACCTTCCAGTCTACACAGTGGTTAGCCAGTAACGAAATCGCTTATTTTCACTTGTTTCATTTTTCATTTAGCTATGGAATGGGACCATTGTATGGAAGTTTTTCTGCCTACGATTTTTTCCTCTTTTTTTTTCTTTGTTATTTGTAGTAATTGAAAATTGTTTGTTTTTAAATGAGCGGCGGAAAGAACGAACGCTAAATGTTTAATCAATGCAAAAGTTAAGTAGAGAATTGGATGCAGTATGTACGCATAGCCGGCTGTAGTTTTTTCGCAAGCAATTTTGCCTTTCATTTGCATTCGCCGTTCTTACAGCGACTTCTCAAAGCAGCTTGTTCATTGGCATGCAAATTCTCTTCGTATATTCGGTAAACTTTGTAGCTTTTCTTAGGTAATAAAGTTGCTTTTTTCAATGCCGTTTGTTTGCATGATCAATGTTGAGAGCATAGAAGTGCTGGCTGTGATTAATTGTTGATTTGCTATGCAGTTGAAATTCAGTTCATAATCGTCAGTTTATTTGCTACTGTTAGCTGTAGTGTAAAGTACACTGTTGTGTATGCTGATTTTAAAGTATGATATTATTTGTTCATTGGATATGCTAGTCTTTGCTTTTTTTGCTTTAGGACGGTTGTGGACGTTTAATTGTTGGATAGGTGCATACACGTCATCAGTGATTATTCTACAATTGTATTACTGGTGCTGAAGATGTGTATTTTTTTGATATTCTTTATTTATTAAAGTTTTAATTCATCGATATGTTTATTTGAGGAACATTTAATGCGTGTCTTAAATTTATTTTTGTTTTTAGTAACAAATTTGTGTATTAGAATGCATTAAAATTTGTGTATGGACAAGGATATTCAAAGATAGGGGAAAAAGTTTTGAAATTTTGCAGCAGGACAAAAATTTGCAAAACCGTTGCAAAAAGTTCCTTGAAAGTTCTAAAGGCATTTGAAAAGATTGAAAATAAACTGTAGCTGAATCTACATAAATTTTGAAAGAATGTGAGGCTTATTTGAAGAAGGCAAAAAGGTAAGTAGAAGCAGTGATAGGGTTTTTTTAAACAAAAAATGATTTTTTTTATAGATTTTTTAATCTGCACAGCTTTTTTTCATTGTATCGCTAACCTGTCTACTTATTTCTTAACTGGTTCTTTGTTCTTTCTTATCTTAATAACAGTTTTTTTGTCTTCTCTTTTGAGAATTAATTGAAATGAAAGGAAAAGAGCAAGAAACAAAAACGTATTGAAGGGGGAAATTTAGAGGGCAGTAAATGGTTGAGAGTGAAATGTTAAATAATCATTTAAGGGGAGTGGAAAGTGGGTCAGTGTGACAAGCAGTTATTAAATGGGTGCCTACAGGGTTTTCCTCTTACAGAAAGTAAGGCATCGGATGAAGACGTTTTTTTATAATATTTTAAATGCACTGGCCTTTATCCTGTGCTTTTTTTTGGAATGTTTTGGTTAAGAAAGTTAGCTCTTTTTTTTCAGCAGCAGAAGAGAAGCAAAAATGTTAAATTAATAAGAGCAAAAAAAAAAAAAAGTATGGGTGCAACAGTAGTCCTTTATTGACTAGCTAAGTTTCTTAAGGGAAAGGAAAAGCAGTTTTTAGCACTGTTTTAGCATCCTTTATAAATGCTCTAAATTATGGATCAATTTTTAGCTTTTCTTATTAGTCTTATTATAACTCTCAATAAGTTGAAACTAATAAACTCAATGGCGCATTGGACTATATTTATCAGATCATTAGTCATTGTTCAACCACTGGCAAATATAAGTTTCAGGTTGTTCTCAGTAACTATCAGCTGTTTATCGACCCATTTGACGACCAACATAGGGCCAATACGGTATGTAAAAATTTTGAAGGCTTTCTATATCGTCGTATGCTTATTTTTTTTCTTTTAGTTATCACTGTGTACAGCGTATTTATGGAATTGATAATATTTTTTGTCTAAAATCATCTATATGCAAAAACTTGTGTACAAGTTACTGTTAATGAATATTTGTTGGGTTTAAAATTGTTTAAAAAAATGGTTTAGGTATGGTTTCAAAAATTTTTGTTGTCTAACTATTTATGCGGGGGAACAAAATGAGCAAACATTTCTTTGTGCTTTTTTTTTTTTTAATTTTTTCTGTGTCAATTTATTACAGCTGTTTTGAGAGTTTTTGGCTATAGTTTTTTTCTTTTGATAACTACCATTGAATTTTTGGATTATTATATGTATGCATATACGTATTTTTTTGAACAGTTATTTCTCACACTGTATCATTTGAAATTTAAACATCCAAATTTGAACTGATAAAGAGACCTCCGTAGCTGTAGCGTCCCTACTGAACTGTATAAGGAGATATCTGAATTACAACTGATATCGGCCATCAGTTATATCCTGTCATTTCTTCATCCTATAGTCCTACATTGTATCTTCCGTTGATTTCATCTTACGAATGGTTTGCCAGCAGCTTAATGTTGGTCTGGTAATTGTATTTATGTTATTCTGTTTTCCATTTTCTTCCGTTTTTTTTGTACGTTTTTTTTTGTCTGTACTGTCCTTGTCTAGCTTCTTATCGAGAATATAGAGCTTCTTTCAAAGTTTCCCGACAAAAATGGCAGAAGAATGAAGTCCTTAGACAGATTTTGTTCTGCTGATGAGGACAATTTTTGCACCCTGTATTGCCACCCTATACGGTTGTCCACGGTATTAAATAGATTTCGTATCAATGATTAGTTTTAATTTTGTTTAAGTGTTTGTAAGCGTGATCTGTTCAATCATATCTTTAAAAAATGTTTTTTAATTTGTTTTATTACTTTAACACTTAAATTTCTATTTATGGTCTACGCAGAAGCCATAGGGCTTAGTCACTGAAATATTCAAAACACTGGGTCTTTTAAATGTTGAGATTAATTGTATAGATTTCATGTACATAGGTTTTCTTTTTTGATAAGACCTGGCCTTCTTCGTTTTCATCTTTATCCTATGCTGTCTTTAAGAATCTTTTTTGAATTTTTCTCACAGCAGCGTAGTAGTTGGTTAATTTTCAACTTCTTGTTTTTTGTATTGTATCGACATTCGAACGAACAGCACTTTTTAGTTATTGCGCTGTGTTTTGCTTATTTGTGGAATGATTTTTGACTGCAATATTTTTACATTGTATTATGTGGGCAGAGTTGGGAAATTTTGATGAACTTTTGAGTAGAAGTTCTTGTATCTGCACAATAACCGCTGAATATTGCACATGTGAGTAGTCAGTTTTTTTAAAGCGTCTGCAAAACTCTAAATGTTCTCAATCTTTTTAGCATTTGAGTTTTCTAACGTCGAAATACGGGACTACTCTGTTTACCTGTTCACTGTCTTTTTTGTAACGAATGTCGAAAGTTACAATTCCAGATGACTTTGAGGTTGGTTGTCTGACAGTGTCCAGTTCCCTATTTTAAATTTCTTTTTTTGTTTTGGAGTCTTTAAAAAGTATGCAAATACGAAAATTGTTTTATCAGCTATGAAAATATGCGCTTTATGAAAAGTTGGATACATTGCTACTTATGCGTTTATCAATTTTTAAAGTTGAACTTGGATTCGTTTTCCATACCAAGCTGTTATAAAGATGACCTTTCTGCTGTTATTATCCCCTCTGGTATGATTGAAGACCGAGTGAAAGCGTTGGCCTACGAAATTCATCGGGTTGTTCAAGATCAGGTACAAAAAGTTAGCCTTTATTGTTCAGAAATTTTGGTGCTATCTGGGCGATTTTTTAACATCTCTAGAATTGATTAGTGGAGTTAAAGAGTTTGGTTTTTATTTGGTAGTTGGGTCCTTTAACAGAGCAAGGATTCTATAAACTGTCAGGACTAAACAAATGATTAGGATAGGTGAGCGATTTTTGGATAAACCATCTTGTTTGCTAAGAACTTTAATCGCTGATATTGGAGTCTTTAAAAGGTATGCAAGGTAGAAGTGTATTAAATTTGTGATTGCGTGTTGCTTACTTGGCTATTTATTTAGAGTTTTTATAAGTTACTTTCTTAATAAAACAGATTCTTGATTTGAAAGAAGAGGCCAGTTTTATTACCAAAATGAGGGTACTTGCTCATGTGTTTCGATAAATTTTCTTCTGGATTCTTCGTTTCGAAGGCTGTTCACAGTAACTTAAGAATTTGCTTAAAATCAATTAAGTTTTATCAACGAGTCGGACTAGATATCATGACAATAGTTCTCATTTAAAGTTTTCATATCTCATGTGACAAGGAATATTTGAAACATTGGTAATAAAGTGTTTCCTTTTTCAAGGTCGTGTTTTTTAATACTCCTTTTTTCAGCCACTAACTTTATTGTGTATCTTAAAAGGTTCTTATCGGTTTTTCACAACCTTGGTGGACGAGCTAACTGAAGTTCGAAGACACTGTCACTCCTTACTAACCATAGATTTTGTTCGCCTTCAGGTATTACTTATTCGTACAATAGCTTCTTGCCACTTCGCTCTTACAAAAAAATTTTATTTTCAGAGTTACTCAGACACACAGTCTACTGGTACTGTTAATATACTTGGGTTGTCAAGCATTGATGAACTTAAGGAGCAAAATGTTTTGGTTAGCCTACTTTTACATACTTACCTTCAACGCACTAATTCCATTTCAGAGACTTCTTTAACTTACCATTTATTGCAGATTGTCCATTTAAACATTTACCCTTAATTATTATTTGTACAGCAGTATTAAACTCCAGATTGTTGAAGACGTAGTGGACAGCGGGAATACTTTGGCACATCTTTTAGACACTCTTAACGTTATAGGCGTCAAGAAGGCATGGACAGCAGTGTTGATGTCGAAGAGAGTTAAACGTGAGCGAGAGGTTTGTTCCAGCTTCTTTAAAAGCTCATCTAAGAAAATGTCTTAAAGGAAAAGCAAGTGCTTTGTTTAATGAGACTGGAGCCGCACTTTGCCCTACAGTGACCAGAAACGCCACCTTTTTGTTTGAAACTTCAGAAGTACGTCTTTACACTGTTTCATTTATACAACCTTTTAGGTTAAAGAAGATTTTGTTGCTTTTGATGTCGCTGATAAGTTTATTGTTGGGTATGGTCTGGATTATAATCAAAAGTTTCGTGACCTTCGGCACGTATGTGTTATAAGTCCAAAAGGAATAGAAAAATATAAAATCGCTGAGGATGAGAAAGCAGCAAAATGATTTTACAACTGGTTATTGCGACAGGCACATATGCCGCTAAATTGTCATTGCTTTATGCATTATTCTAGCATTTTTGAATCTCACGCAAATATTTTTATTATTTTTCAAAATGTACAAAGAGCAATTTTTTTAAAGATGAAATTGAGTCTCGTGAGACAATATTTCTAGAACAATAGTTTATTGAATACTGACGATTTGTAGCAGTTTTACTGAGAAGTAAAAGAATTTGAATTTTCTAAAATAAGTATTGATAATTAGTATTTCGTGACATTTTTTTCGTAAAACTACAAGTTACAGATGTATGTCAAAATGAGAGCAAACATATAAGTGTAAAACAGACGTAAGTCTGAACCCGAGTTGCAATAATCGGTTTGGCAAATACATTCTGTTCCCTTAGTTCCCTTCCAGAGGATGTTTTCATCACAGTACTCTACATATGGTCGGCTCAGCGACTGACACATTTTCTGCACTCGAAGGAATCCTAAAATGGAAATATACTACAAAAAATTTCAAGTTTTACCAGTAATTTGGTTTGGCATAAATGTAAAAATTGGCAAATCTGCAACATTTTAGTACGTAAATGTCTAGAAGTGCACACAATTTGGGTTGTATCGCCTAAAAAATAATACGAAATTTAGTGAACAGTTACCGTCTATGTACGCTTCACGTTTCATACAAGCATTTCCTGAGCACACTGATCCAATACAGTTACCTTCGAAGCTGTCGCAGATGTAACAAAGAAGGCAATTACCTGAACCGCAATTTCAGGTGGGCATCAATACATAAAGGGTAAGGTATATGGTCACAAAAAAGACCTTTTTCAGCATCAGTCACAGCAGAGCGAAAAGTCTGAATTTTGCTTTTGAAAGAAAAAGTCCTCACCGAAGCCAAGATTGACGACTAGTAATAATACAGTAACGGCGTATCTGCACAAACCCATCACAACGCGCTTTGGTCCTTGTTACACTGAGCATTTAACGGATATGAATTAAAGAAGCTCGTCTAACACTGAGCATTTAACGGAAAGTGTTGTTGAAGAAGAATACATTTGACTTGTATCAAGAATTAACCTTAATATTAGCATTTCAGTCCATTCTGTAGAATGGTTCACGTTGTTCACTGAACACTCTGAAACCACGCGAGGGTACTTGAAACGGTCTAGGCAGAGCGTTATGTAAATAAAACCACAATGGCTGTCGCACTCTACAAAATCGTTAAGGACATCCAAAACCGCACTGGTGTTTGCACAGTGGACCATCACGTTTATAAAATTCAAACTGCTCGTAGTGAAAATGTTCCCAAAACATTCAGCTAAAACTTAAAATTTCTTTTCACTGGGATCTGGTATTAGTTTATCGACAGGTTTAAGAAATTTTCCGGTCTTGTTGTTTTCAGGTATAACTTGCTCTACTTGGACTATAAAGCTTGGTGTAACTGCTGTTTAGGCACTAAATTTCATCACACTGTACGCTTATGAATTAAAGCATACAATTTCCGCTAATTTTGTCATGATCCATTAACTCTCATCCTCTTCAGCAGTCTAATGTCATGAATAAAGTCTAATTTCATAATTGTGAATAATAAAAATAATCTTCTACTTCATTTGGCCAATGATACTACATGTCTTAATTATAATGTCAGTGGTAGTGGAACGTCAGAAATCATTAAAGATGGCTTCTAAGTGATTTTGCAAGCACTTCCCATTAGCAAGGTT